CCAAAGGCTTTGGATGAGGACCTTAATCGTCCTCCTGTCTACGTCTGGGCGCTCTGGCAGTATCTCAGCCCACATACAACCATGACGTCTTCTCCAAACATAAACTTCATCCTGCATCGGCCGCCGCGCAGATTATCAAGGGCCGCTTTATCTACTGCATACAGCAGGACGGATAAGCGAAAACATGCTACGGCTGGAGCCTCCCTTCTTTCTTTTCCACCTTTTTCTCTTACTCCCATCCCGACCCCCATTACTAACCTTCCTACTATAATTCCCAGCTTAATTGACAGCAACAGAAGTGCCACTGGAGTAGAACCATCCGCAGCCACCATCCCACAACACCCATCGCACGTCTATCGGCAACAGCCCCTTCTAAGGCCAAGCTGTCCCGTTTCCTTGGCGATATTCAACGTTCGCACTCTAAGACAAACAGGTCAACAGGCTGCACTCGCAAGCACCTTGGATACACTGGGAATTGATGTGTGTCCGAAACTAGGACCAATGACCATAATGGGGTTGTTGAGTTCACCACACCCGGATCATCATGATATTGGTTGCACGCATCCGGTGACGCCGATGCAGCACTCACAGGTCAAGCTGGTATAGGTATCATTCTAAGCTCCAAGGCTGAGTCATCGTTGCTTGATTGAATTCCGGTGAACAGCCGTTTATGTGCATCCCGTTTGACGCTATCAGCTAAGGTTGATTCACGAAGTAGTACAAAACGCTGTTTGTTCATGATTTTCGTTTATGCTCCAATCAACTACAGTTCAAATAATGTCAAGGACACATTCTATCACGAACTGAACGCGCTACTACGCAGTGCTACCAGTTCAGATATTATAGTACTTGCAGGGGACATGAACGCACAAGTAGGGCGTCTGAGCTCTTCAGAAGTTCAACTGGGTGGTAATTGTGGGCTTAACTTCGAACGGACTGACAACGGTGAGCGTCTGCTGCAACTGTGTGCGGAGCACCAGTTGTTTCTTAGTAGCACTGCTTTTAGACACAGTGGGCGCCGAAGTGCCACTTGGCGTCCTCCTGTAGCTGGCCAGCGATGGACCCAAATTGACCACATAGCCATAAGTTAAAGATGGCGTGGTTCCATCCTGGATTGCCGCTCATACGGGCGTACCTGTGTGGACTCTGATCATGCCTTGTTACGCTGTCGCTTCTCCTTGAACTTTACCGGGAGACGCACCAAGTGTCCCCTCCGATTGGCAACCGAGAAAAGTCTTAGCCCTCAAACAGGCAAGCCTGTCAAGACACTGCATACCGAACTTCCGCTGTCTTGTCCTAATGACACTGAGCTTCAGTGGAATGGGATCTCGGCCGCCATGCATGACGCAGGAGCATCTGCTTGTGGCACTATCCATCCTCACCCGCACCAGTCACTGGATATCCGAGAGGCCGGTGAACCTGTTGGAATCTAGAAGACACCTCCTGGCTGGCTCTGAACACAATGTGACCAGACGGGCTATCAGGCGTGAATTAAAACGGAGCCTACGTGCTGACAAGGAAGCCTGGTGGACCAGTCGGGCTCAAGAAATGGAGGAGGTAGGAACAGTAGGCAATTACCGCAAGCTCTTCCAGATGATCCGCACCACTGGTCCCAGGAAACCAGGCGTCAGTACGACAATCAGACAGCGCGGGTGCGCTGATGCACAATAAGGAGCGCCGTATGGCTCGTTGGGCGGAACATTCAAGATCAGTTCAGCTGGACCCCTGCTCCTGGACCTCTTCCTACTCAGGTGATGCAGGACGAGCCATGGGCGGTTAGTTTAGAGCCTCCGTCGGAGGCCGAGGTCCGAAACGCGATCACAGCCCTCAATCATTTTCGTACCGCTGGTCCGGATTCCCTCCCATCTGTGCCATGTAAGGATGAAGGTGAGGTCCTCTGCAAAGCACTGACCTCCTTATTCGAATCTATCTGGAAGGAAGTGTCCCGGCTAATTGGAGCGAATCGATCATAGTGGCAATATACAAAAAGGGCAGTCGCACAGACTGTTCTAACTACGAGGGTATTAGCCTAACGTCAGTTGTGACAAAATTACTGGCCTCGATTCTCGTTCGTCACCTCACTGCGGAACGAGAATCTCGGATTAGGGAAGAGCAGGCCGGTTTCCGCCCAGGACGTGGCTGTATAGACCATATATTCACTTTGCGGCAGGTGCTACAGCAGCGCTACGCATACAGCAGACCGACAACAGCCGTGTTCCTCGATTTCAAGAGTGCGTTCGATTCAGTCGATCGATCGATTCTGTTCGAAATACTTACGCGGAAAGGTGTTCCCACGAAATATGTGAACATCCTTCGTGCTCTATACTCGAACACTACAGGCCGCGTCAGGGTCTACGGTGTCCTATCGGATAGCTTTCCGACCACAAGTGGCGTTCGTCAAGGTTGTCCGATTTCCCTACTTTTGTTCAATTTCCTCGTGGATTCTATCACGGAGTGTTCCCTTGCGGAATGCCCCGATGTAGGCGTTGCAGTGCTACCTGGTGGAAGGTTAGTTGATCTAGATTATGCGGACGATATGGTCTTGCTTTGCGACAATGTTGGGGCGGCACAATTATCCCTGAATAGCCTGTCTAGAGTGGTCCCATTATTTGATATGCGTCTCCCACCTTCAAAGTGCAAAGTGTTGCTGCAGGACCACCAGCCACTTGATGACCCCTTGACGCTTGCTAACGAGGAAATCGAGGTTGTTGATCATTTCACTTATCTTGGCAGCTGCATCAGCAGCGATGGCGCATAGTAACTGACGGCAGCTCACGCATTGCAAAAGAGAGAGCTAGCTTCTTGAAGCTGCGTCATCTTTGGTGACAGAAGGGAGTTTCCTACGTCTGAAAGGCCGGGTATACAAGGCCACAGTGAGGGCCGTTCTGCTCTATGGTAGTGAGACTTGGCGCCTTCGGTCTGAAGATCTGAGGCGCCTTCAAATATTTGATCATCGTTGTCTGCGAAGCATTGTTGGTGTCGGATGGCAGCAGCGTGTACGCAATGATGATGTGCGTAGGAGAGTACTAGGTGGTGATAATCATGCTAGCTCGCTAGAACAACAGATAGCACTGAATAAGTTGCGTTGGCTCGGGCACGTGCTACGTATGCCTGGTCACCGCTTACCTAGGAGGGCCTTGTTTAGTCTGCCAGGTGTAGGGTGGTGCAAGGCTCGAGGTGGACAGAAGTTGACTTGGCAGCGGGAAATGAAGTCACTGACGACCAAACTGGGTACCGTTGGTCCGTCTCGCCTTCTGCGCTGGAGTCCACGTGACTCGCCTTTTGCTTTGCTCGAGACTTTACAGGACATGTCTCGCAACCGACACCAGTGACGCGTCTGCTTCCGTCTCCTAATTGGATTGCCTGTTTAAAGTGTGTTTGATGCTGAGTTATCTGCGGGGTAATGGCTGATTATGACGCGTGGCAGTGAAAGCCCGCAAGGAAGCTGTCTCGCCGATGCCGCCTTACCTTTGCACAATAGCTAGCTGTTTGTGACGGTATGTTGTCTACACAAGGTGTAGGCGCCCTGACCCTGAATGTCTGCTTAGGGCATTAAGGTTTTCAGGTAAGTCCCCCTTCTCTCCCTCGTCTTATGGTTTATTTCATAGATTCTCATGGTTGTATGGCAGCGAAGCATCAGTTCAAATGGCTGATTTACTGCTGTTGATGATGTTGATACTTATTTCTCCAGACCTAAGAACATCCCAGGACACGTTGCGGAAGGTAGCATCTGCGAACAGGATGCGCTGTGCCATACAAACGTCGTTCTACAAATTGACACCGCAGAAATACAGGCTCCTGTTTTCCTTTTACGTTCGTCCAATATTGGAATACGGCGTATCTGTCCTACTCCCAGTCACGAAGATTGAATGTGTTGATCGAGAAGGTTCAGTTGCGAGGATCCAAGCCTGTGTCATTGCTAAGTGTTTTACCTTATCCCCTTCGTCTCCAGTGTATGAACTTATTTAATCTGGATTACCGCCGTCGCCGTGGTGATCTGATTTATACTAGACGCATTTTAAGGGGCGAGCTGGGAAAGGTGCAGCAGTTCTAGCTCGACAGATTGTTCCACACGGGGTCACAGCTTGAAGCATTTTAAACCTCGGAGGAACCATGTCCGGTCCTATGTCGCGTTATAAACAGGGGTTGTGTATGAGTGGAACAATCTCCTGAATGTGTGGGAAGTGCCCAAACAGAGGAATGTTTTAAACAACGATTGACAAATACATTGTAACAATCCCCCGGGGGACACAGTTTAGCAACAACACGTGTCATCCAGCCAATAAACGGGAGGTGGAGCTGACACCGGTTTTCTCTTCCTCTCTCTACAACTCTATGAACTCTATGTACTAAGCTGTTCACACCACGAAAGCTCGACGCTCGCTCAGGCCTCACCTTGTCCAACCGGGTGGTGAATGAGTAACAGTTACCAAAGGAAATCGTTAACGAACCTTCAGTGGAATGTTTCAAGAGGCTTTTAGACAAACACTTAATGAAGACCCTGGGATCTTGGGCTGCAACTACGACGAGCCACCGAGGAATGTCACCACACCACGACAGGCAGCTATTCCACATTGAATAGGAGTCGACGGAGCTGACAACGGCTCTTCCCTCTGCTCTCAACAACACAATGAATCAGAGCTGATTTCTAGGTGAGAGTAAGCAATTTTTCTAGATGTGGTAAAGGACTAATGTAGCCAGTACGCGGGCGTCACGGTAACACGTTAACAGGTAAGAGGTCGATCGGTTTCGCTTCCTGTTATCCATACCTTTATATTCCACTCCGGCACTTCCCCTTCCATCCTCCGTGCTTCTTTAGCTGCCACCTTCACAACGGTCTCTTACTAGGCGGCTCAAGCGTACAGCCGTCTACGGGTTATTTACTTTGCATTGCAGCTTGCCGCACTACTTGGACAAGGAATATCTTGGAACGCCGGACCGAAGGAATATTACACTAAGCGGTGTGTATTCCAACTAATAGGGAACTTAAATGTACTTACCTCATCACACAATTGCACCATGCGGCGGGTACTTTCGAGGCTCTAGAATGTAAGTCCAATGATTCACACAGAGTACCTCATCAGTGGTCTTGTGCATCCGCATCTTTAGGAGCTCCAGCTCTGTCATCGGTCTTTTTTCTCCAGTGTCCTGGATAGAAAATAATGAACAAGCAGTTACGAACGCTAACCATCATGAGAGATCGGAGGAAACGTGCACGAGGTTGAAGGACATGAATGGATTCAAGGTCGTGGGGTTGCAAGTTCAAGTTCAAGTTCAAGTTCAGTTGGGACCGGAACGATAGGATAATCCCGTGAATGTTCCTTCTTTTGCGTATCGTTGGATCGGGAATTGACAGGTTTGCTTGAGATGTTGAAAAGTCTAAAACAAAGACCGCATCACACCCTGTCCAACCAATTACTGCCCACATTTTCCTGCCCAGCAGTCCCTGCCGGGCCGGTTTATGTGAAGTAAAAGAGTGAAGGGTAAGTTAAGAAAAGAAAAGGAGGAATGTCAGCTAAATAATGATAATACCAAGGTGAGAAGAAGATTAAAAAAGAACGAAGGGGAAGTTGAAGATACAAGTCGGTTAGGAGAAGGGGAAGGTTTGGTACTGCCACCCTAGAGCATCTAATTGACGCTCGAAACCCTCTACCGTAGACTCCCTAACCACGTGCGCTGGAAGCGAGTTCCAACGTTCAATAATTCGACGCGACAAGCGAGTTTCCGTCCTTACCCGGTCAGAACGCTGTTTGTGCAGCTTCAACGGGTGACCTCGGAGACTAGGCAGCTTGGCGGGACTAAATAGCCAGGATAAATTTGGACCAATCTTACCCGTTAAGATACGGTAAGTGAGAATCAAGTCTCCTCTAATTCTGCGGTAGTGCATTGAGTACATACCCAAGCTAAGCAAACGTTCCGGATACGTTTGCCCCCGTAATCCTTGCACTAACCTTGTACCCACTCGCAAAACCCTCTCCAGTTCCATTTTGTCCCTTACAAGACAAGGTGGACAAGCCTGGATACAGTACTCTAAGTGAGGTCGCACGAAAGCTGAGAACAGCTTCACAAAGATATTGGCCGTTAGGACACCGAAGGAGCGGCGAATAAACCACATCAAGAAAATGAGGTAGCGCTCCTACGGCCCGCAGGATAAAAACTTGGATAAAATTTTGCCAAAAAAAGAACATCTCTTTTGCATAAGTGTTTTATACATCTTAGTATTTTGAAACTAATAATTCTACAATATTTCTTGAGATCTGCCTTCGAGATTGATTGGTTTGCGTTTATCCAAGCAAGCATAATTTAGCATGTCGAAGCGTATAAGTGCCCCGTTGCGACTGGGGAGAAATCTCAAATGAGGCACGGTGTTAATTTACCGTCCAACAAGTTGTAATGCGGAGGGGAATTAGGCCTCTCAGCTCAAGTTCAAGTTCGGTTGGGACCAGAAAGATAGGATAATCTCGTGAGTGTTCCTACTTTTGCGTATCGTCGGATCAGGAATTGACAGGTCTGCTTAAGAAGTTTAAAAGCATAAAAAATGGCCGCATCACAGCCTGTCCAACCAATTACTGCATACATGTACCTGCCCATCAGTCCCTGCCAGGCCGGTTTATGTGAAGTAAAAGCGTGAAGGGCATGCTAAGCAAACAAGAGGAGGAATGTCAGCTAAAAAGCGATAATACCAAGGTGAGAAAAGTAAAAAGAACGAAGGGAAAGTTGAAGATACAAGTCGGTTAGGAGAAGGGGAAGGTTTGGTACCGCCACCCAAGAGCATCTAACTAACGCTCGAAACCCTCTACCTTAGACTCCCTAAAAAGTGCACCTTAAGCGGATTCTAATGTTCAATAACTCGACGTGACAAGCGTGTTTTCGTCGTTACCCGGTCACAACGCTCTTTGTGCAGCTTCAACGGGAGACCTCGAAGACTAGGCAGCTTGCCGGGACTAAATAGCCAGGACAAGTCTGGAACGATCTTACCCGTTAAGGTACGATAATTGAGGATCAGGTCTCCTCTACTTCTTCGGTAGTGCATTGAGGACCCACTTAAGCTAAGCAAACGTTTGGGATACATTTACCCACGTAATCTTTGCACTAACCTTGAACCCACTCGCAAAACCCTCTCCCGTTCCATCTTGTCCCATAAAAGACAAGATGGACTAGCCTGGATACAGTACTCTAAGTAGGATGGCACAAAAGCTGAGAATAGCTTCACAAAGATATTGGTCGTTAGGATACTGAAGAAGCGGCGAATATACCACATTATAAGGAGCCCTCTACAAACAGACTTCCTCCAATTGTCCCCAGTGTGATGCAATGTGGTATAGGTAGTACCTAGATCAACCTGCTGAATGAAAACAGGGAGTTCTCTTCCACCAACTACATAACGCGTGGGAGGACTGGCACCTCCAATGCGGAGCACAGAACATCTCGCCTGCTTTATGGGCCCCAACCATAAGGTCGACCAATCACAGAGCTTATCCCAGGCACTCTGAAGTGCCTCAGGGCCACCAGGGATATCCACAATATTCCAGAGCTTGAGGTCATCAGCAAACAATAGCGACGGTACTCCAAGCCCTTTGCGTAGGTCGTTGACAGAAATTGCGAAAAGCAACGGCTCTAGAACCGAGCCCTGCGGAACGCCAAAAATAACAGCTTGTCTAAGCGAAAGGCTACGCCCCATGCGTACACACTGCTCTCCACTCTGGGAAAGCAGAGACCATTAAGGGCGGTTCCCGATATCCCATACGATCTCAACTTCATTGAGAGTCGCTGATGTGGGACAGTATCAAAAGCTTTCGAGAAGCCAACGAAAAGCACGTCGATGACCTGACCGTTGTCTATTGCCTCAGCCCAGCTTTCCCGAGCTCCAAGTAAATTTGTCAGACATGAAAATCCCTTACGGAATCCGCGCTGCGCCGCACTGAGAAGGTTAAACTTAAGCAGGTGATTCTCCACCGAATAAATAAATAAATAAATAAATAAATAAATAGGTATATTTCTAGACCTGCTAGAGGCTGCACCCTAAAGGGTTCAGATCAATGCTTACATTTATCCGATGCTCTTGCATGGAAGTTGGTAAAATATATGTTCATCGTTAGCAATTGCAAATGCATTGGCACTGTTTAGTATACAGCTACTGGGTCGCAGGCGCCCACCTTGACATTTTTCTGGTTCCTTCGGGCGATATTGAGCTCCTTGTATTTCATTGTGAATACTTCGCGGAGGTGTAGTTTGCCTTTTCTCCTTGAAACAGAATCCAATTTGCCACAAGTTCACTTTAAATTGATCGCACAATAATTGGCCACTCAGTTGCCCCAATTTTTCAAAAACCTAACTACTACACTTGTTAAGCTGGCAGACCGGTATTTCGCGGGCAAAACCTTGTGCCCGCCCTTAAAAATCGGACAGGTGATTATCTTCTTCCATTCCGAAGGTAAGACACAGCTGTCGAGTGATATTGTAACCACGCATGTCAGAGGGCCACTTAGCTCAGCGGCCAATTCATGCAGCAGCTTGGGATGCATTGTATCAGGTGCAGAAGCTTTGGATTGAAGTATCCCTTGTACTAGCCCCAAGCTTTGTGTCTCAGTTAGGCTGCTTTCAGTTAGGCAAGCATCCGCTGGAACGTTTGTGACCAGCTCAACCTGAGGTACAGATGCCTCATGAGTAAGGAAACCAATATACTGTTCGCTAAGTATACAAGGATTATCATGGTCTGTAAGCCCATGGGTCCCGTCCGCTCGTAGTAAAGCCGGTATAGACGAGTTTGTACCGCTGCGTCTCTTTACGTAAGCAAAAAACTTCCTTGGATTTGTTACGGCTGCGTTAGCCAAATTCTCCTCGTACTGAAGACGAAGAGTTCTAGGAGGTCGCTTACATTTATTTCTGACCGCTCGATAGCTTTCGTACGTGCTGGTCGATGAAGCCGCTTGGTAAGTTCGCCAGCGCTTAGAGAGCTTCCTGAGCAGGTATTTACCCATATGATCTATCCATGGAGGCTGCGCCTATGGCACCCGTCTCTTAATGAGTGGGACGTGGGGAGCAGAGACCTCGGAAAGGTATACCTTAAATTGCTCTCAGGCTGTCTCAACAGCGTCAGCCAAGATGACCGCACAACGCAGCATTGAAGCTTTGTCTCGTATTGCGTTAAAGTCTGCCCGCCAAATATCTGGACATACCTCAGCGGTAGCTTGACGACACTTAGTTAGAGCACAACGAATGGATATGCAAACATGTTCACTGGCTCCTAAAGGACGGTCGTAGGTAATATCACTTACGAAATCGTGTGCCGTAGAAAAATGAGATCAAAGATGGACGGAATTTGGTTGCGCGCATATCTAGTCGAGAGGTACATGAACTGATGCAAAGTCCGTTGCAATGTTAGCTCAAGGAGATCCCACCGCCAAACTGCAAGATAAATCAGCCCAGCAGGCTTCAGAGAGGTTGCAGTCCCTCAGTATTAAATAAATAAATAAATAAATAGTTTATTCTCGAATTTGTCGAGACACACCAAGTAAGGCATGATTAATATTTACATACAATATTGCCTCGCAACAAACACGTTGCTATGAGTGTAGTCGGCGAAAAGCCGAAGGATGTACAGGCTACGGAAATTGTGTAAGTAGTCATGAGGGATAGAGTCATCAAGGACTGACGAAACGTTGAATTCTAGAGTGCGTAGTGTAAATAGTCAGGGCACTACATGTGTAATGAAAACGATACTATAGGCATGGTGTAAATTAGTATTGAAAGTGTTAGGGCAATATTGAATAATGATTCTGGTCGACTTGCCAGAAGGTGGTTCTGGGCAGTGACTTTATTCAGTGGCGAGTCACATCCGCCACGTCACAGTGTTGTTATGCGGACATTTGTGGCTTTTTATAGGGAGAACGCTTGCCAGGCGAAAACCCACCACGTCCTGGAACACTGTCAGAAATTTGCTGGTGCACTAATATACAACTGGCAGACAAGGTTTTCGACTGATTTCACCCTCAGATATCTGCAGCCAAATGACCTTCAAGTATCTCTGTTATTTGGGCAGGTATCTTAGGCAAGGCCGCCATAATGGCTGAGGCGAATCGAGGATGGGGGTTTCAAGAAGAATCCTCTTTGTGGGTATCCAGGTGGGCAGGACGTCAATTTCTTGTGTCTGGATTATTCAGGAGTGTGAAGTTATCAAATCCAGTTATCATAATTGGACAACGGTCATGGTAATGAGTGCAGTTTGTCCGTTTCTTGTACTGGCATGTGCTCTATAG